ACTATGATATTAATAGTTAATTCTAGTACACCAAGGTAATGCTATGGCATGAATAGTTAATTCTAGTACACCATGGTAATACAACATGAATAGTTAATTCTAGTACACCATGGTAATACAACATGAATAGTTAATTCTAGTACACCCCGGTAATACAATATGAATAGTTAATTCGAGTACACCCTGGTAATACAACATGAATAGTTGATATTCTAGTACACTCTGGTAATACAACATAGAATAGTTAATTCTCGTGCACCCTGGTAATACAACATGAATAGTTGATTCTAGTACACCATGGTAATACAACATGAATAGTTGATTCTAGTACACCCTGGTAATACAACATAGAATAGTTAATTTTAGTACACCATGGTAATACATTGACCTAAATATAGTTCTAGTATTCCATAGCATTACAATGACATGATTTGTCAGTATAACTGGTAGTAGCTTGACATGATTAGTTAGTTAGTTCTAGTATAACATGGTAATACTATGCATTGATAAAATAATAAAAATAATAATAATAATAATGTTAAAACATGACATGCATTTGCACAAATTTGATTCCTTTCTGGGGGCTTGACAATTGAAAACAAAACCACACCTGTATGTTTTGGCTGGTGTTTGCCCTGAAACAATAATAAATTGTGATGCTTCCAGAAACTTTTAAATTACAGACATTTTAAATCCAAAATAACAGAATTGCAGTTACCCAAACCTCTATATTATAAACTGAAGATTATTTATCTGAGACTACAAAAGCCAGCTTAAATTGTTCCTGTACCCATTTCCAATAAAAATTATGTTACATGCATTCATATGCATACAGTGTATGCTGGCTTCAGTAATAGATCAAGTTATTTATTTTTAATACAATAACATTGATGCACACAATCTGACTATTGCACATTTCATAATTTTGATTATCTACCATTGAAAGCATTCCAGTTCAAGGGGTTATGACTGGAATTTTTTTTTTTAAATAACACATGGTCAAATTTTATAAATATACATTCAACATTCATTCAATTTAAATTATATATTTTTTCTTTTCTAGAAATACGAAATTCATGTTGTAAGGTTGACATTCCCTAATTTTAAATAAATGATTTCGCTTTATATTAAAAACAAATTTTTAAATATGAATTTGATTTAGAATTTTTCCCTCTAATAAATTGATAATGAGAATTTTTATGGTAACAAACAATGCTACAATTGTACCATATATATATATATAGCTCATTAAAATATATTGATCTAAGTTTTGTAAAAACAAAAGAACTAAGTAAAGCTGCCTCATGGTGGCACTGTGATGTAAAGGTGTTGGATTAAACACTGTACTTGATTTGGCAAAGACAGAGCATCAGCATTCATGACTGTAAATTCATACCACTTCACAATCTTGTCTCATCTGAAATGGAATCCAGTAGTTGCAGCTGCAAACTTGTTGTATTTGGAAAATGTCTCGTGTCAATGTTGTCTACCACATCAGGTGTGGTGATTGTTGAATGTATTCCACTATCAGTTCTACTGTCTTTCCTTATCTGCTCAGATTTATCTAATGGCAGTCCACCTTTTTGTGATTTTACAGTTTCACTTTCATTATTTGAGTCACTGGAGTGAGTGCTGGCTGTTGCTATGGCTTCAATTGTTTCAACGTTCTCATATTCATTGTCAAAAGTAATTTTTTCCTCTTCGGCAATTGGCGCAATTGCGTTTTCTAATGCTTCTCTTTTCCGCCATATCTCCTCACATGGATTCAGTTTTGTAGTTTCTGATGGCTGCTCTGCACTGCTTGATTCCTGACGTTCAGGTACTTTACTTAGTTTCCGTGACAATGACTCTTTTGATTTGCTCGACCCACACGAACTTACACTACCACGTGCTAGTGTTATCGCCATTCCATTGCTAAGCAACCTCGCGTCTTCATCTTCTTCTGGAGTCTGTATCAAATGCAGGTTTCTGGGTGCACCTTTTGGAGTTGTCTGTGGTGTGCAGTTGCTGTTCAGAGAAGACCTGGAGTTGTGCCATTCATTTCCATTGTAGTGCCAATCTACCATGCACTGTGTCATCAAGGAGCTGCTGGATGGACGGTGACAGGTGCTGGTGCCCGTCGGTGCCTGGTTCACAGAATGAGACATAGAACGTCCACCGCTGGAGTACGTACCTTTGTATTTCATGGCTCGCTTCTCGCAAAACCCATGTTTAGTCAACATCATGAACAAGTCACGTCGGAATGCCTTGGTGCAGATGGCATACAAAAACGGGTTGGTGCAGGAGTTGATTGGGTAGAATATGACCAGTAGAATCTTGGCTTCTTCCACCCCAATAAGAGGCTTAGCTAATGCAGCTGTGAAGGCAAACACCATGATTGGCACTACACAGGCAAAATCGGTGAACACTAAAATTCCCATTCGTTTGGCCACTGTGGCATCTTTCTTGTGTGCTAAAGAGCAGCTTTCCGGACTACGAACCGTGTGGTACATCTTAACGTAACAGCCGACCACCAATAAGAATGCAAGGGTGATAATGGTACAAAGTGTGAGGATGTACACTAGATCTAACGCTCCTGTAGCATCCATAGGTAAACACATACTGGTAACGCTGTAATCACTCACACCAAATAACGGTAAGCAGGCCATAGAAAGAGAGAATACCCATCCTACTAGCATGATTTTAGCTGCCATCTTCATATGCAAGCGTTTATTCAAATGCATGGCATGGATAATAGCGTACCAACGTTCCATTGTAATTGTGGTCAATGTAAACACACTGACACATGTGGCAAATATGGAGATAAACCCGATAGACTTGCACCCTGCTCCCCACTGCCAGTCAATAGCATAGTTGTAATATTGTCCTCTGGCAACCACATCGACAATGCCAGTGACCAGTAAGTACACACCTTGTAAGAAGTCGGCAAATGCCAGGTTGCACATTAAAAACTTAGTAACTGTAATTTTAGAGATATATGACAGCAGCACAACCAACACGATAAAGTTACCGAGTAATGCCGTCAATGAAACAAACCATATCAGTATTTTAAGAATAATATAATTCAGCACATCACCACATGGATTGAACGGGTTTGCTTCCGGCTTGCAATCTACAAGAGAATAGTCCTTGGGAACTAGTTCACCGCATTTATCGCCAATGTGTATGTACGATTCATTTGGATTTAAAATTTCTGGAATCCAGATGGATTTTGTCAATGGTGGTTTGACTGTCGGCCTGTTCGACATTGGCACCAAAATGTCTATCTCTGGATTAGAGCATAACGGATCAAATGGGTCATCACAGTCACTAGGAGCTGGTGTAGGTATCGTTTCCCCCCATTCAGCTTCATCTGAACGACGAGGACGGTTCGACCTGCGTTTTCTTGTATTAGAGAGCATCTCACTAAAGAACAGTGACAGTGAACTTTCTTTCTGTGTGGGTGTAACTACAGGTGTCATCGGTGTCGGTGGGCAAGTACTGATGTTCCTTGAATCTTCAGAAATGCCATATTTCTCTGCATTAATGTAGTTATCTTCAGTCGGATATGAGAATGCACAACAATGTGTAAAATAAGTTAGTCTTGCTTTCTTTATTCGCTGAAACTCAAACACAGGTGGGAAAATTTTGAAACTGTATGTTTCTTCAATGTATAAATTCTGGATGAATTTCAGTCCATTGGTAGGAAGGAATGTCATTTCTGATGCTGATAGTTTTCTGAAAATAAATTAAAACAATTTTTACAGAAACTTTCAATAACCATACAGTAGATAGAAAAAATTCCTTTATTAGACAATTATTGTTTAAATTATTTATAATATGAATTTTCCACTTAATTAATAATGTTCTAAAGAATGGTAAGACTAATGTCCTCATGTAAGTCCACATATATACCTAGTGTACCTTATTAACGATGGTGAAATCTGATAATTGTACGTGATCTACGTTAGTTTGTTTCAAATTTGATTGTTACAATTATAAATAAATGCATGGCATAAGATGAGCGATACCGCCAAATACAGGAGGTATGCACAACATATTGAAGTGAATCCAATGATAAGTGTACTCAGGATGGTTACTTACAGTGTACGTAATTCATTCGTGCCCGAAAACGCATCTGGCTTCAAGTGTGTGAGTGGATTATAGGATAAATCACTGCCAATACAAAAATATTAAAAGTAAAAAAGATTATAATCACAGGTCACAAAGAAATTTAGTATTTACATCAATTTTATGCACAAATTGATACACTAGTGTTCATGCTAAGGGAGATAGAACGGTATCCCTCACAGCAACATACAAATTTACTTACATTTCTACCACAGTCAATCCACCAAATGCAGATTCATCCACTTGATAAATATTGTTAGAGATCACTGATCTGGAAAAAAGTTAAACATCAGAAAAGATTAGCATCATAAACAAAAAGGTTTTGAACTACCGAGTAAAAAACATCATATTGCTGTTTACATGATTTGATATTCAGTCTGGCGCCCTCATGAGTTTAATTTTTATGTGCATGTAATTTTGTTTTTATGTAATACTTACAGCTTGCCAATGGCAACTTCCACTCCAAAAAACGAATACGGTGGTAGAACTTCAATACTGTTATGACCAAGATAACTGAAAAAATAGAATAGAATATATAATGAAGAAATTATGAGAATCTAATTTGTTTGTAACAATTTGTATTAATTAGAATTTGTCCAATTTTAAAAATATAAGTGCATGGAATTGTAGAGGTTCTCCTAATTGTGTAAGTATGTAAGTATGCAATAAACATTTATATAGTTTTATGGCATATTTTTTTTTTTAAAAATGCTATACTTTTTTTTTTTTAAATACTGTATTAAACTCTTTTATTAGAACATATGTTGACGTGAATGACAAGAATATGCAGCTGTTGGATAACATCTGTTTTTATTATAGCTTCACTTCTTATAGAGAAAATACTGTAAATTGAACCTGAAAGACACTTGAAATAGTTTGTCTGTTAACTAGCTCTACCTAATTTGGTTGAAACACAATTTGTGGTCTTCTCATTCATACTTACATATCAATTGATGACTCAGAAGTACTAAAATTAGAAAAGTCTGGCACTCTTCTCAGCCCGCTCTCATGGATCCATCTGAAAAAAAATAAAGATGTTATGATTTTTATTTTATTTTTATTTTAGAACACACTCTGATTTCACATGCAATTTAATTCACCCAAAGACTGTAAATTAAAAACAGTAAAAGCTATGGTTGACATATCACTTAATGATGAATCAGTAAAAAAAAAAAATTAGCAAAAAAAGTCCAGCTAAAAATATTTTTAAATTTGCTGTAAATTTAGATAAGAACTGAAATGTCTGTCAATGTTTATAAATATTCAATAGGAGTTTTCTCCCCGAGATCAGCGGATCATAGATGTACTATATATAATAAATACCAGTACTTACATATCCTTCAAGCTTGGGAAATCAGCAATCACCCCAGGTCCTATATAAAGCAGACTAGTCAACTGTAACAGTTCTCTGTAATTAATCAACAGTCACTCATATCAGAAAATATACAGGTTTCTTTGACCTCTAACCCCAGTTCTAACATCTAACCTTAAGTGATTCTATTACACAGATAAGCTGCAATGGTATGGTCTGCTAAATCATCTTAACATGTATTCAATGTTGCTCTATTATTTCATATAAGAAGGCTTTAATACTATTTAGAAAATCTGGAACGTGGAGAGGGGGATAGTAACATAATTGCAATTTTTTGAGCAAGATTTTGTTTTTCATGGTGGTGACCTAGAGAGTAGGTATCTAAAAATTCTTTCACATGCAGTATTTAGAAAAGTAGGTCACTAATGAGTCATTATAGACAAAATTAGGTGATGTAATTAATGTGCAGCTGTCCTTAGAGGAAACCCCTTGAACAATGTTGTGAACACTTTTTGTTCTTTCCTCTAAATTCATTTTCAATTTACCCATGGATGTTAACTATAACATTTTATAAAGGTATTCAAAGTCAAACAAGAGATTGTGATTCGTCAATTCAAAATCCCTGCTGTTGTGATTGGTCGAACAGTTTTCAACTGCCATTTTGAGTTTCTAAATGTTATTCAAATATTGATAAAAGAAATGTAAACTACATCCATTAATACTCAAAAATAAGTGTATCAAATGAGTGTTTTTTATTTTTGAATTTAAGTTTCTAATGGCCTCCTCTTATCTATCTTGTGTCAGTTCTATTTAACCATTTAAATAGCTTTTACTAGATGGCAATTCACAATTCCACAAATAAATTTAGTACTCTTGGCACAACAAACTTGTTTTCTTCATCCTTGCAATATGTCAGTTAAATTCAACCAGCCAATCAACGAGCCGAGGGCACAGCAATGTAAGTTGAAAACAATCCAAAGTTAGTCAATGTGTCAATAAAAACCTCTAATTTACATTTGAGTTTTGTTTTGAAATTTCTAAATAATTTTAACAGGGAATATGTTTGTTGTGCTGAGAGTAACTCTCAACCTAATAGTAAAAACTATTCACTTACAAATACCAAAGGTTTGGTAAACCATCAAATGCGCCAGCTTCTATTTCTATCAATCCACGCCAGTCTGTCAATTTTCTGTGTTTTAGAGAGATAAACAACAGTTGATGTTAGCATATCAGAAATGGATAGATTCTTTTGGAAGCAATAGGAGTATGTTGTTGGTATGTCTGTAGTTATTTGGTATAGCTAAAAAACAAAAGAACAAGCAACCTCATGGTGGAAACTGGTCAATTATTAATAGAAAGCATTTATTATGAAACGCCGGAATCATGTATATTCGGTCTTGACCTCCACTCTGTCTATTGTGGTTATTTGAAGACTGTACACGCTTTCTATCACACTAAAACTGGTCACCAAATTTAACAAGTGTCTGCACTTTTTACACTGTTCACTAGCGTGAGCATTGGCAGGCCTAAATAGGTTTTGATTGTATACAGTGCCACCAGTGGCTGTTCCCAACTTCATGTGTCAAGTTTTAACCTATTTGAGCAAATAGTTAGGATACTAATTAAACATGCTGAAAGTAGTTAAGTAGTATGCAAAATTAACTAATTTAAATAGGCAGATTAATTCTAAAGTGTTGTTTAGACATTCAACTACAAAAACATGTACCAAGTTTTAACTTGTTGAAGCAAAATGTTTTTTAAGACATTGACATCAGTTAATGAGTATGCAAATTAGATAATTAATATGCAATGTTTGTACTAAACAGACAGACAGTCAGACATACAGACATCAGTGTGACATTAGACTCCCATTGTGCTCTGCATACTTGCATATAAATCTTATGTCAATTTAGATTACCGACAGTGAAACTTCTTTTTAAAAAATACATTTACCAGTACTACTGACTAATGGAAAGCAAAATCAATAAAAGACTTTCAGAAATAAAACAAAAAATCTGCTAAATTTCTGTACATGCAGTTATTTCTTTGGATGTTTTAACACAATTGACATAAAAATTATCAAAAAAGTCAGTTTGGATTACAAACAATTTTTTTTACTTACAAGTGTTCTAACACTGTGAGACCAGAAAATGAATCAGCTTTCAGTATTTCACCCTTGCCATCAATAATAGTTCTGCAAGAAAAAAACAAAAGAAATTGCTATTTTAATAATAATCTTTGGGAAAACAAACGGTGCACTAAGATTCGCCTATAGAGGGCTCTCCAACAGCTGATTCCACAGCTTCAGAATCCTGATGATGCAGCTTGAAACATCCAGGTATTTTTACCATAGTTGTTTTATATAACTCTGTACATGAGGGAGAAAAAAGCAACTTTATCAACGGAATCAATCACTGATTATCAATTGAACATTGCCCCTTTTTTTACAAGAAAGTACTGCAAATTAATTCTGATGAGTTATGGTAACTGTGGTTTGGTCTATGCTCATTTATTACACCACTCGCATGTACGTGTGCAGTGAAGCAAAGCATCTAGTGCCTCATACAGTGAATACTACAAAGTAAATTATAAGCCATGTACCATGATGGGGAATTGCTCCCCACACAGAATGTATATTGTTAATGTGTTTATTTAAGTGTTCTTGTATCTTTTACTCTGGCATATCTTTCACATTTTATGCCCCCTAAAGACTGCAAAGCACTTACACTACATACTGTGGTGTATCATTGTAAACACTCAGATCTGTAAGTGATTTCTTGCAAAGGCCCTATATTGACAAGCTGGTATACAATTCAGGTTACAATGTATGTTACTATTATTCTCAGTCATGACAGATTCAGAATGATGAGTGAAAAACTTAAATTAATAGCTTATTAGAAAGTGCCACAGTGTGTTTATAATTACGTGTAATACATGTGCATGTACACCCCATTGCATGGGACCCATGAACACAAAGTAGATGTTTTACATTGTTATATGAAATGATTTTAATACTATACATCATCTTAAAAAATTAAAATTTTTGGGTGTTTTTTATGGAATTTATTTTCACTGATATCTGACAAGTTGAATGTAAAATATGGCAAAAAAATGTATATTCGCTAGATTTTATTCTCACTGAATCATTCCTTCGTTGAAAATAGCAAAAATAAAGCGAAAATAAAGTATTTTACAGTACCACCGGTAATCACTTTCAAGAAGCCTGTATCAGTATGATAATTACTGGTATGACTTGTAAATATCTAAAAACTTCTGACACATTTAAATCTTACATATCACTGATCACAAAACTCCTTGAATTTGCCTTTAATGTATGAGTAAAAATACTTAACAATCATTGCATTCCGACATTTATTATCAATTTGGATATTCAGAGTGTCTGTTTGTGTGATCATATTACACTATTACATGGTTTACATATCATAACTAAATACAACATTTTTTGTCTCAGTAATTCTGTATGTGTAATTATTAAATAAAATATACGTCTAAAAGCAAACTTCCTGTTTATTATGAAAGTGACTCATCCAATGAATTGGTGCCTTGTACAGACGCAATGTAATTAACTATTGGGTTATGGAAACATGACACGGGTCTCATCATGAATAAAACTCCAGCGTAAAAAACCCTAATCTAATTTGGCAGCCGACACTGATTGTAAGGTAAGTCAATTCCAGGGTACGTTGATCATTTGTATTGCGTGGGGAAGAAGGAAAAAAACAACAAACACTGAGATAGGCTTCTGTGAAGTTCTTGATCTGAAGCGAGATAAAAACTTTGCGATCATGAGTCATGCATGAATATATATAAAATATATACCCCCGGTATATAGATAGGGAAAAGTCTGAGCTATATTAAGGTCAAAATGGATCAAGAAATCAGTAATGGCATGTGAGAAAATGTAATTAACCTTTAGTGTTCGGAGCACTGTTAGCGAGATTAAATTGACACGCCAAAGTAATTAACATTATAAATTGTTGCGAAGTAGGCAAAATAAAATGATGACACTATCGTTATACTAGTTATTAGTACTGGATTTTTTTTTATATAGGGAAATGTCTCGATGATTGATTTCATGTTTTTAGATGAGGTTCCTGACACTTCCATTGTATTACATGTATATACCTACTCTGAAAATAAAATGAAATTGGTTGAAGAATACAGGTATATATTATTAACAAGCGCTATTCAGTTACAATGTCGATATTAGAATTTAACAAAACTGTAATAGGTGACAATGTTTTATGACGTGGAAGAATGGAAATAGAAACACAACACAGTAATGATCTATGTATGTTTTTTTAAACGTTACACTAGTAGTTTACATTATAACTTTATTAGATGTATGTATAAGAGGTATTCAATTGCTGTTAAATGGTTTGAAATTGGTATAAGATGTTTCAAACATCATTTGATACCTTCTGTAATCAAATCTCAATAATGTTCAGTGTATCAAGTTTAATAGACCCTGTTTAAACAAATGCTGGAGGTGAGGAAATTTATAAAACTATATATAATTTGAATTTCAAGTATTTTAATTTAAGGAGTCTTTAATCAACTTTAAGGATTGACATCTCCAAGGTTAATATGGTTTATATTATTTGTATTGCTTATTTGGCTTTGAAATACACAACAGCCCAGTGTTCCAGTGCATATATTATATGATGTACAGTTTATCCAGGAATGTCATTTACGCTTCTGAAATGAGAGCCTCATTTTTAATAATATTATGCAAATGAGCAAGTAAGTATGGCATGATAAATGTATTAACATATTTTGCATATATAAATGTAATTTTGACTTGTATGCAAATTTAGGATTGATCATGACACATCTACTTTAGTTCTGGCAATGTAGGAATGCTGAAAACGATACACTACTCAGTAGGGATAAGTGTTTAACATTGTTGAATGTCCCAAAATACAACAGATGAGACTGTAACTGTTCATGTTTTTATACAGATAGATGCATCTTTAATTATATTAAGTGGGAGAGTCGTCACCTGCGCATGTTGCAGACAGCCATAGCGTGTCGTTGTCTACCCGTGAGCCTTTGCGTTGTTAGCATTGCTTGGGATTCTCACCTATATGCAGGTGACGACCCCTCTGACTTAAATATGTAATCATCCATTATACTCAATGATTTAAATCTCAGCTACCAAATATTTAGGACAAAAAAATAAGTTTCATTTTTTTTAAATATATTTTCATGCCAGGTGACATTGACTTTTGTTTTCCAAATTCTCCAAAAACAACTGCCACATGGTATGCACTCACTCAACGGACACTGATTTCTACTGCTGAGTGAACTGTCTGCTTCAGGAATCGATCCACAAAGCAGCCTCCGCAAAGGTATAATTATACATATAATGTTTTATAATAACATTATTGCCCTGTGTATATGTTTGCGGTTTATCAATCGGAGTGCCAGTAACCCTGCACAATAGCGAATCTATTTTAAATGTAAAAAAAAAATCTCACAGCATAATCAATGCATTTTGTATGCGTTGTACAAGTTTAACACGTTAGAAAAATACTTCACGCTTCGTTGTGCATATACGACAGGATGGAATAATAATACCATCGTCTCTATAAAAAGACTGCATACAGGGAATGCAAATCTAATTTTCTACGCATCCACGATGTTTAGAGTTCATTCACTTTTCAGTTACTATTAATACATTTCACGCCATGAATGCTCAGATTTTTTACATCCTTGGTGAATTAAAATAAGCAATATTAGGAAGGTCATTTCATCTCTCATGCGATGATTAACGATGGTCAAGGATTGATAGAAAAAAAAGGAAAGTTTGGATTAGAAAAACGAACCTCAAGGGAAGATGCAATTATTACTGAGTTAGTTTATAATATTACCTTCAGCTTGTTATTCCACTGTGTTCTGACCCCTGCAATATTTTCACTTTCTATTATTCATTGGCAATATGATTTATGAGTAAATAGTGTAAGCAATTTAGTGTGAACTGCAATGACTAATGCATTTTCCATGTGACTGCCAGAGAAAAATTAATTTTCAGCGATTGGATCAGGCTATGAATGGCTGCTTTTGACTGGTACTTACACCCAATTTAGCTTCCTCAAGGCCACACACAGTTGACAGTTTCATTAAATGTCCCCATACAATACATGTATTCTGATAAATGTTGGTATTTCAATTCATTTGTCAGTTGAACAATATTTCTTTTTCAACCGGCTTTCAACTTCATGCTCCATTGCTCAGAGATTCAAAAAAACCCCATGAAATTGTGACATCCTGTTTTTGTTTGAAGTAAGTGGCGCATAGAAAATTGAGATGCGTTGTCGTAACTGCAAATGAAACGTCACCATTTTCAGGTTACAGGGTAATTCAAATCTGATTTTAGCTTCTGTGTATACAACAATTTGATTTTAGCTTCTGTGTATACAAGATCTGTTTGTTGTTTTTTAACTTAATCAATGAACTGAAAACATAAATAACATTTCGTACATGAATGAGGGAATGCATTTATATAAACATAATTTTAATGATGTCATGATGCATTTCATAGATGGATACATATTTCCATTAATTATTAATTAACTGATTGCCACATCGAACTAATCACTCTCGCAGTTTATGCATATTTTAAAAACAAAATCTATGAGATGCAAGTTTCTAAAACACACATTAATACAAATGTAGCATACTGTGGAATACTTTATTTTCCCTGGAATTGATTTTTGCTGAAAAGGCTTTTTGGGCGTTTTGTATGGAAGTTATTTTCACTGATTTTTGATGAGTTTAATGTGAAATATAGGAAAAAAAGTATATTCGCTGGATTTTATTTTAACGGAATCATCCCTTCAGCGAAAATAGCGAAAATAAATTGCAAGCGAAAATAAAGTATTCTACAGTATATTAATTCTTTTCAATTATGAAATAAAAAATGCACCTGTCAGCTGGTGCTCAAAATATATTTCTTATATCATCTAATTACGTACATTGGGATATTACTGTCAACGGAATAGATATAGTCATGCCGATTTATGATTGAAAAGTTCTGCACAACTGATCGTTCCCTAGGTCTGTTGACTTCTTATCTCATCTGATTTATTATTCTATTCCTTTATACGTCAACAAATACCAATAAAACATGCTGATTGGGTTATTTGAGTCACATGGCCATGCATGCATAAT